CAAAAAGTATTGTTTTGTTTGCAGCAATATACTCTAATTGCTAGGTACTAGTATGACTCGTAACATAATTTGACATATGGCTCTTAAGAACTTGGTATCAAGAGCCCATCCCACAAGTAACTCACCTTGTATTCTATGTTCCCATCTTCTGCCTAATTAAAAGAAGAAAACATCACAGGTTAGTGAATTCTGCACTGCTCATCATTTTACATACAACTCTTGACATCTCATTTGTAAGCTCAGGGAAGCTAGCACATAGCAGTGCCTGATTTAGAAAGAATCAATTATATCAAGAGTTGCTAAATGCTATAGTTCTGGGCTCCATATCTATAAAAAGGACCAAACTAATGACATGGCTCTTATAGTGCACTTTTAGAACTATGCCTGCCTGGGTCATCACTGTTCTGCAAACAAAACAATAAGCAGATTTACGAATGCCACAACAGCTGACTGTGAGTTTTAGTAGTTATATTTCCAGCTGCTGTAATAGCTCAGATCATGGAGAAGGCTTCAGAAACCATTCTCTTAAGAAAAAGTAAATCTCAGGTCAGTATTTCAAACAGACCCAGTCTCCTACTCTGTCTGCATGAACCACTTAGAATCCTTCACTGGGCCTCTGTCTCCAAGATACCTCCTGAAATCTGTGTGCTGGCTGCCAGTTTTTGAATCTGTGGATAGACATCATTTTTTGAAGTGGAGTAAGAACTCACAAATTCAGCTTCTACAACTAACTGGAACAACTTATGTTGACCAACAATATCAAAAATTCTGAATCTGTAAAACAAGTTCAACTGACTACCATCTAGCTCTATAGTAAGCCAGGAAACTGGAATAGACATGAGGAGAAAAACACCTTGCTTCATTAATCAATAACCAAGCCATACACCTGCAAGCACTGTCTGTGTCTTAAAGATATCTTCCTCCTCCTTTCACCATCCCAAGATATTCTCCTACACTACCTCATACTGCTCTGGCAAATAGCATAGTTCTCTAACAAATGTGCCTTATGCTGGTCTTTTCCTTCAAGCACACAGAGCTTGGAATGACTAATGTGACTGGCAGCTGAGGGAGAAGAAACTACGGTAGTAACCAGCTTGTAGTACAAAAAACATCCCAATGCCATGGCAGATCCACAGGAAGATCGCCACTTCTGACATTCCCTAAGTACTCAGAAAATACTTCTCCAGAGGACACCCCCATATGAGCTAAGTGTTAATAACTAGTACTAAAAATTACTCAAGTGGGGTGGGGGAGACCAGACTATCTCTAAAAAGTAGATATGTGACATTGAATTGTACCCTGCTAATCTTAGTTCAGAGATAGTGGTGTGAGTGCAGAAGGAAAGTGTAATAAGCAAGACTAACAGCAGCATGAAATCTGATCCACTCAAATTTCATTTCTTCCTGAAATAATCTTGCTTTTTTGGAAGTAAATATCACATTCCCTCTATGAGCACATTCAGAGTTCTTTCCATGCAGCCTGCTGCTATTTTCTAGCTAAAAATGTTGGTGGAAAGGGAAACACATAGTAAACAACATCATGGAATAAACCACCTACATACTGGAAATGAGACAAATATAATGCTGAGTTTATCTCCTAATATGCCCACTCAATCCTCTAGCTTTTATTTTATTCATGTAGCATCATCCCCACCAGCTTGAGTTTAGAGTGCCTAGGAAATCACTGCCTTAGAAACACAACATATCAATGTATTTTAGGAAGCAAGAAGTTGTTTAACTTTTATCTACTGAAGCTGCTGTAGAAGTGATGCAGAAAAAGTGACAAGCTTAGGCATGCCCCAAAATAGTCCACTCAAGTCAACTGAGGGCAGAGAGGAAGTACAGTACCACTAAAGTCTCAGGGGGGATGAAATGACTAATTCTGCTCTCTGGGGGAAAGGAAGGCTCACCTTCCTAAAACAAAGGACCAATTTTTTATTATTAACAATATTGTTGCACATCTTATATGGTTTGCTTCACATTGATTCTGACTGCTATCAATGCTTGATGAGACAGAAACAGAACAGTTAGAGATCAGCCTTCACTAGTATGAAAGAACTGAAGGGGCATATGTGTATATGCATATATGAGTTTTGAATGAAAATGAGCCAGGATGACAGAATGAGTTTGAGACTGTAATACAGCTTTATTAAGCCTTGAGTCTCTAGACCAGGCATCCCCAACCTGCGGCCCTCCAGATGCTTTGGCCTACAACTCCCATGATCCCTAGCTAACAGAACCAGTGGTCAGAGATGGTGGGAATTGTAGTCCAAAACATTTGGAGGGCCAAAGGTTGGGGATGCCTGCTCTAGACTATCTGCATCAAGGTCCAGCCCACGTTCAAGCTAATCTGTCACTGCCAGGTGACACACAGTAGGGACTAGTTCTCACAGAAGTAGTAAACCTATGTCTAGGTTGTACAGTTTCAGGTGGGGGCTCACTTAACAGTGCTTCTCTATATCACAACCCAAAAAAAGACCACCTACACATAGAAATCTAGATGTTAGTGAAAACACTAGGTTAAAAAGAAATCCCTGACATCATGTTTTCTATGTACAGGCAACTGTTAAGAGACAGCAGTAGGATTGAAGAACATGCAATTATGTGCGCCCCTAACTACAGACTGAAGCATGCCATTGAAATTCAAAAAAACCTATGTTATACTCAGTCAGACTATTGTTCCATCTAACTGAATACTGAACACTCTGTCTGGCAGTAGTTCTGATGGGCTTTGGTCCAAGGTTTTTCATATAACAAATTACCTGACCTTTTTAATTGGAGAATTAAATTGGACAGAAGATCTCAATGAGAGCTAGACAGAACTTTCCATAGGGACAACCAGGGCTTTTTTCAGTCAGAACTCACCAGAACTTAGTTCTGGCACCTCTCAGGTGGGCGCCATTGCCATTATAAAAGAACAAGGGAGGCATTTGTGGTGAGTTCCAGCACCTCTTTTTCTAGAAAAATAGCACCGGGAACAACATACTACAGAGTTTCCAATCCACAATCCAAGTAGATATGGACTAAATATATTTGCCCATTAATGTCATTTGGAACTACTAATGAACTTAAGCTTCAGTCTAAGAGAGTCCTAGTCCTTCCAAATTGGACTGGCTGCCTTCGTTTCAAGTTAACAGCTGTATGAACCAATAAAAGCGCAACTTTAGTGACTCGGAATCGCCACAAGTGGAAGAGAGGAAAAGAAACACTGCTAGAAGTTGACAAAAATGGTATCTATTTCCCTTTTGACACTCAGGAAGTCTAAAGTTTCGGAGCTCAAGTCATTCACTGTCAGAGAGAGGTCAAGAGAAACGTCAAAGTGTGGCTGTCATCTATTAGGCAAAAGGAGTGCGGTGGGGGGGGGGAGACAGAAGGAAAGAGAGAGAGAGAGAGAGAGACTCTACTATAAAACCACACATTTCAGTCCAAGGAACTGAAGTGAAATGTGCATACATTGCGGAACACAACAACCAGGCTACGAGTGTGAAGCCGATGACAGTACCAGCTGTCCAAAATATCGAATGGCCCTATTCGGTAGGGCTATGCAGTCTTGGTAGGTTGGTCTTCTACCCCTTTCCCCTAAAACACAGCCCAGCCTTGTATGTTTCCAGACGGAGGCTCAGCATCTCCCTCTCTCCCCCCACATCCCGATTTGCCACAGGGGGCTTGCCACCTCCTTCCCCAAAGTCAGGGGGACCACAAAGGCAGAAGCGGGAGGAAAACCCCGAGAGAAGCCCATCGGATGCAACACGAGAGGACGACCCTGCAAAGACAGCCGACCACCGGCGCCCTGCCTCACTCACCTCCGGGGGCAGGTAGGGCGGGTTGTTGGCCTTGCCCCCCCGGTGTCTCCCGTTCTTCTTCCTCCCCCTGGAAGACCCTCCGCCGCTACCGGAACCGCTGCCCGCGCGGCCTCGCAGGGCACCGCCGTTCCCGCCCCCCATAGGCCGGCAGCAGCCCCCAAATAGCTCCGACACCCCCGAGTCCATCCTGGGCCGGCCTGACACCCGGCCCCGCTCCGGCCCTTCCCCCGGCCACGGATGCTGCTGCCGCCTCCCAGCCCCGGACTTGGCTTATGACGGCTCTCTAAACTCCGGCTCCTGACGTGAGAAAGAACCGCAAGGCACCACGGGAAACAGGGCGGTAGAGCCGCTGGACTACAACTCCCAGAGTCCTCTTCGTCGCGCGGGCCGCGTTCGAGTAGAATGCCGCTCTCGCTTACGTTCTCTTCCAATGACGGGGTGTCGGGCGGCGTTAAGGGACGGATCTCGGGACGGGGTGCAGAACCACCTTTTCCTGCAACGTATATGGGGTGACTTATGCAGCTGCGTATCTGAATAGATTTGTTTCTTCTATGACACTAATAGGTTAGGACCGCGGTCCTCAGGAGCAGATTAGCCAGCATTTCCTTTGCTTAGAGAGCTATGGAGGTGCAGTATGTTTGCTTCTTGCATCTATTGCAACTCTCGAAAATCAATTTAATAGAAAAGGAGTGCAGTTTAGCAATTACATAGCCACACAAAAAACCCAACTCATCTCAGAGTAACAGTCTCAGATACACGATACTTTTGTATGTATCTTCACACCGTAGAAATGCAAAACAACGAAGGGCTAAGTGCACTAGTAAAGCAGCAGAACTACAAATACCATCATGCAATCGGAACATATGTACTGAGCTCCTCCCCCATTCGTGCGAGGCTTTGTTTTCAAATAGTATAGCCACATCTTCATATTTCTTTCAGGAACTTCCTCGGTGCTAAGTCTCTGTTGATGGCAACGCATTGCATCAGTTGGAAGGGATTGCTCTCTTTAATACGGTCATTGCATCAGGTTGAGATGAAAGTTCAGGGCATGTTTTGTGTGGCTCAGCTGTTTGCTGTGACAACTACTCCATCCAGGAACTACTAAAAGTATATTTGCTTACTAAAACCGCTTTTAAGATAGGATAAAGGTGGTCACTGTGGGTGCTCTTGCTCAGAGAAGACCAACTGAAATTAATGAACATGACTAAATTAGGTCCATTAATTTCAATAGTCCTACTCTAAGTAAAACTTAGTTAAATGTGACGCTTTGTGTCAGGTTAATTGTAATTAGGGCTATCCATAGCAAAGACACAATTATCATTTAAATAGCACTTAAAGAAATAACAACTGCTTTCCAAAATGTATTCCAAAATTTATTTCGTTCATTACCGCAGTCCAATGAAGTAGTTTATTTCCATATAATCCAAATTATGATTATGTGTCAGGGGCAAGTGGGGGAATAAAACATAATGATATAGGTGCTAGAATTTAATTAAGGTTTGGGGTGTCAAAGCTAATTTCCTTGGAATTAATAACCAGACTCATATGTACTTAAGATGTGTGTTAGAAATTGCTAATCTGGAATTAGCACATGTAAAAGCTAGTTAAGTAGGCAGCTTCCAGTTCATTGGACACTGTAATCCTAGTAAAATCAACAGAAGTAATAAGCTAAATAAAAAGCAATTCAAGTTTCATAAAATGTATTTCATTTTATTAAATGGAGTAGAACCAGGGCTGGCACTAGATGTCATGAAAGTACAACAATTTGTGATTTTCATTAAAGTACTGTTGTATTTTTACTCCCAGAAAAAACGGAGTTTGTTGATTTTCAGTCTCTGGTGCAACATATTTTGATAATATGTATAACTTGGCTTGAGGCGGGGGCGGCATTCCCCTCAGGCAGTAAAACGTCTCGGGCCAGCCTTGAGTTAAAAGGCGACCTTTCCTTTGGGTTGAAGAGCGGCGCGTCTACTGGCGCCACGATCTTCTTCCCCGCCCACTGACGTCCCTAAAAAGTTCCCATGATGCTCCGGGAGGGCGGCCATTCAAACCAGAGCGACGTCGGAGAGCAGAAAATGGCCGCGCCCGAAGCGACGCAACGAGAAGGTAAGACTGGGCTTTGGGTTTTCGACGGCGGCCCCTTTCCTTCCCTTCCTTTGTGGGTCTCTGGGCCTTCGGCATCACCGCGGCCGAGTGACGAGGCCGCTCCGCCTTCTCTCTCTTTCTGCGCAGCCGACTCCGGCTTGGAACTGCGCGACGCTCCCGCCGTTGCCGTGACTGTGGCGCCGGCGCCGCCCGTGGCTTCGGTCCCCGGCGGCGCCTCCTCGGTGTCTGTGGTTTTCCCCGGCTTCGTGACCCGCGAGGGCTGCTTCCGTTTCACCTCCGAGTTCATGAAGCACGTCTTGTACCAGAGGCAGCAGCTGCCTTTGCCTTACGAGCAACTCGCCTGCTTCTCCCGGAGGCAGTTTCCGAAATCCCCCGGCCAGGTGAGTTGAGGCTGCTCGCGCATACACGGGATCGCATCCTCGCGTTACACGCTGTGCACCCGGGGAAGCGCTGGCTAAGTTTTTCGCTTTCGCTTTAGGAGCATCAAACCGACACTGGCTCCAGGATGCTCACTTGTGTGGCAAAAAAGGTCTCTCTCTCGCACGGTTTTCCGCATGTTTTCAGAGACAAGAGAATGTCGGGTTTTTTTGTGGGGTGTAGGCTATTAAGCCGCACGTGCGGATGTATTTAACTTCCTTTTCCTCATGCTTGCAACCACAGATACAAATTGGGACCTTCGCTTTACCTCTGGGTGGTTTAGACTTGGTTAAAAGTATTTCCTGTGTTCTAGAGTTCACTCTAGATTCAGCTGCAGTTTATCTTGGTGGTTTCATATGGTTATGGCAAGTATTTGGGGGCAGCCTGTGCATGGTGATAACAACTTGTGCATTTTAAAGGGGATTTTAAAAATGGGAGCAATCAGACCTCATTAAACTCCCGATTATGATGCTAACAGGGTGACTAAGAGCATCACAAGCTAACTCGGATGCATTGGGTGAAAATGTACTTATGCTTTGAGGTTCTATAGGGTGGAGTAGCCTACCTCACTGATTATATGGGGGATGGATGCATGTGGTTGGATTCTTCATTTATTTTTGAAGGTTAAACCATATGGCTTTAATTACTAATAATAATTGTTCTTAGGACTGGATTAATCAGGAGTTCTGAAGTAATGGGTGCTACTGATGCTGTGTACCTCACAAGGACCCACAAACAGTTCCTACTTCTTGGCATATGTACCTGCAACAATCACGTGCTGGAAAATGCAGTTTTACTGGAAGGAAGGAATAACTCAGTTGGTAGAGCATAGGGTTGTGCATTCCAGCCCCACGTTGGGCAAAAGATTCTTGCATTGCAGGGGTTGGAGCAGATGACTCTCGTGGTCCCTTCCAATTCTATGATTCTACTACTGTTTCATTATTATAAACTTTGATAATGTGCCTTTACCACTTTGGAGTCTTTACCATGGTGTCAATTGTCTGCTGTGGCTAGAGTTGTAATCCCCCAGAAGATGCAGGTTCACAATCTGGAGGTACTCCTGGACCTACTTCTGCTACTAGTGGTCCAGGTAACCTCAGTGGCTAGGGCAGCCTTTTATCAGCTTCAGTTGGTAAGACAGCTGTGGCATTTCCTGCATCAGGTTAGCCTGACCAGTTAATCATACACTAGTAACTCCAGCTTGGTTTACTGCAACGCACTAAGTGGGGCTGCCCTTGAGACTGATCCAGAGGCTGCAGCAAGTGCAAAACATTGGCAGTTGGACTACTTATTAGGGCAGAACAGCAGAATATGACCATTGTATTATGCCTCTGCTGAAGGAATTCCACTGGCTGCCAAATGGCTACAGAGCTTGCTCCAAGGTGCTGTTATTGGAGTGTGCATCCTACAGGTACCATTCTACCAGGTGGTCTGTGACACACCATGTTGGAATGGTGTCTTCAGTGTGGCAGCAGATGCTCTTTGAAACTCCCTCCCACTGCATATCAGGCAGCAGCTTTCTCCATTGGTGTATCAGTGCCTGCTTAAGAAGTTCTTCTTTCAACAAGTCCTCTAAAATCTTTATCCCAGTTGGTATCTACCCAGGACCTGAATTGATGTTATGTATATATGTGTGTTGCTGTTTAAAAAAACTATAAATATAAAAACAGTTTAAAAGTTGCTTTGAAACTTTTTATATATACAACAGTTTTATATATGTTACTTCATTGTAAATCACATCTAGGTAGATGACTCATGGGAAGAGATTCATAAATAAAATAATAACAAATGATGTGGTGAGCTGGTCTGTAGTGAACATAGTATAATACACCATTATGACTAGCTCCTGGCAAAGAGATAAATCCTAAAATAAAGATTCACTGCTTATAATTAATGGCCATGAGCTTACTATGCACACATGATACTTCCTAGCATATAGGTAGTTGTAGTATTCTAATAGTTGTCCCTAATCTGCTAATATTAATAACAGCAAATTTAGCTATTATAGAAATGACTTACAATATGGCTAACCCCTGGCTAGCTTCGTACGTTAAGGTACTCACCAGCTACACCTTTTTGGCATCTTCTGGAGCTTAGAGATCTGACTGACTGGCAGTCGTTCTTCGGATTTGTACTTTTGGCCCCCTACCAGAGCTCCTTTAATATGACAACAGAACTTGGAATGGCTCTTGCATTAATAGGGATATTATGCATTGTATGAAACATACTAAGCAGACAAAACTTCACATTTTCCAATTTTCTAAAGCAGCGTTTTGAACTCCTGCATTATATTTTCCTAGCCAAGGCTGCATCTTCTGCGGAACTTGCCTGTTGTATGTATGTTGGTTTAGTATGGAACTGGGAACACCTGCTTTTATACTTGTTTTGACACCTTCCAAAGGACAGACATACCATTCCCAAACCTGGTCATATTCTGATGCAGATTTTATGGTGTGAGAGAAACTGGGTGAAATGGCACTACAGAAATATTAAGTCTTTGTATTTATTGGGGGAATGAATTTCCATAATTTAATGGGTGCTGTGCAGCAGTTAAGAGAAAAGTGGTCACTGAAAACAAACCACCTTATTAGTAACTGGCTTATTTAAGTAGTGATTTTGGTATGTTATGATTATGACACTTTTCTGGTTTGTTCTATATGTTATCAATTATATGTCTAGACTTTGAGATAATGTGTGAAATAACTATATTCAAGATTAAATATTGTCATCTTTTCACCTAAAATATTGACATCATTTCAACCACCTTAACCTCACAGGATGAAGATGTGGTCAAAAAAATCAATCCAAAAGATCAAGAAAGCAACAACAAGAGGTGTCAGCAAGTACTGAGTGAACTTGAAGGAATGTTTCAGCACTTAGAAAACATGTTCAGTTTGACATTGGTCCCACGAGTTCTTATTCTGCTTGGGGGCACTGCTGTCAGTCCCAAAGAACTCTATGAGATCAATCTGCAAGGTATCTCCATGAGCAGTGCTGATGAGAGTCTGCAGACAGGAGCCTGTATTCGCAAGCTTTTCCGTTCGCTCTTCCTGGCAGATGTATTCAGCGAGCTTCAAGCCATTCCCACTATGGGTGTCGTTGTTATGGTTCAAGGGCACCGCAACTGTGGCGTTAACTGGTTCAGACCGAAACTAAACTACAAAGTGCCAGCCCGAGGGAGGAAGTTGACGGTCAGCTTATCGTGCAGTCACAGCAAGAATACAGTCCTTTCTGCCAATCAGGAGATGAACTTTAACTTGGATGATTACATATGGTTTCAAGCTCCAGTGACAGTGAAGGGCTTTCGTTACTCTTGACAACGTTTTTAAGAGAGAATGCTTAACTTCCTGTCTCCATATTGCTTTGTAATAAATCTGATCAGCTGCAGCCACAAGTTCCCCTCATTTGAACCTTTTTGCCAGACCCTTTAGAAATCTGTGATGAGCAGATGAGTACTATCATATTCTCCAGAGTTAACTTCCTTTCAAAATGATGGAGCTTAGAAGCAGATCCACCTAGGAATATAGGAAGGGCCTTTGGGGAATTGATTCAAAAGGGAAAAGAGATTGCTTTAAGGCCTACGAAACCTATTACATGATACTTGAAATAGTTATACCAGCGGGGAACTTCCTGCATAATATTATATTATGGACAATGTTTACAGGTAGATAACTACAATGTTCATGAATTGCTTTGGTTTCTGTGATTGTTCAAGAATCTGGTAAAAGCCATATAACTTTCTGCTTTTTCCTGAGTAATAAATGTTACTGTCTAAGGAGCTATTGTAAGGGTTGTGGCCATAATTCAGAGCAGCACAAATCCCCTCAACACTGGAGGCCTAATAACTTTTAAAGTTTGCATCCCCACAGGATTATTAGAGTGGGAAAAGTTGGTTTAGAAATATTTATCTGGTGCTACGCAGGTGCTTTGAACTACAACTCCCACCATCCCTGACCATTGATCATGCTGGCTTCAGGTCCTGAGAGTTACAGGGCATGAGGAGGGCACTAGGGAAGGCTGCTTGTGAACAGTGATTTGTCTGAAAAATTACAAATTGGGGTGAAAACACTTTCTAAATTGTGGAATGTAAAATAATGGAAGCCTTTTTGGCTGAAGAGTTGGGTACAAATGTTATCTCTCATATTGAAAAGCTCATTTTGCTTTCCTAACAGTTTGCGTACATGAGTACTCTGATTAAGCCTCCTCCTGTGTTTGTCTCTGTTAGTCAAAGCTAGAAGCTAACATTGTAAATGTGCTCTTTTTGGAAAAGGCTCTGAAGCACAATCTTTGCTGTAATATCAGCTTCTATAAAGCTGCACAAGATGTTTTGCTCATCTTCAATTGCTGTGATCAAAGTGAAGCTATAGTTTTGCCTTCCCTAACCTGGTGTCCTCTGGTGTTATTGGACTCCAGCTCCCATCAGCCCCAGCCTGCATACCCAGAGGTAAAGGATGATGTGAGTTGTTATCCAAAGCATCTACAAGGAATAAAGTTGGTACTGATGATGTAAAAGCAGGTGTTAAGGCAGGTTCTCTGCTCATTTGCCACAGTGCACCATGACACTGATGTTCTTCATCAATGAAGGTAAACTGCAGGGTAGGGCTGGGGGGTTGGGACAACCACTGTTGGGCAAGCATTAAAGGAACTGGCATCTTGTTCCCAAACAATGGGCAACATTTTACTTAATGTGAACATACCCACTATGAAGGGTCTGGACGCTTTACACTGAAGTGAGCGAAGAGGTTAGTTAGTTGGAGAAGTGTGGCTTTCCTGAGGATAGATCCCTATGTGTTTAGGTGGGAGTAACATTTATCAAAAGAAGCTCAAGACAGATGTAAGGATAATTGGATGTAATAGGTTTTCCTCAGTTCCCTAAGGAAATATTTTTGGGATGGGAAGCATGAGTAATAAGGATTTTGTTCTGCTTGGAAGTTTTCAAGTTAAAGTTGAGACCTATGGGAGATCTAAGAACATATGTTACTTCTTGGGCCAAAGGCATTTGAGCTCCATTTAAACTATTATTTACAAAGCTGCTTGCCTGTTCTGGGCCAGAAAAGTTGCAAACTTTAAGGGAGAGTTTCTCTAGTCTCCAGCATTATGGATTTTCTGACCTTTGGGACATTTTTGTATTGTGTTCTAATTGTTCTGGGAGAGGCTAAACAAACATCCTGCTTTTAAAAAATGCCTGTTGAAAGCTAACAGAAACACAAAAGAAGCTGCATCGGTTACTGTAGAAAAAAATATAGCTACTGAATGTATTTTTTTAAAACAACACTTTTTTCAGAGAAAATAGCATGGATTATGAGTAAAGTTGACTTGCCTTCTAAAAGGCTGCCTATATAGTGGAGCCCAGCCCTTGACAGTGTTCCTAATCCTAACTTTACAGCCCCTACGTACAAACCCAGTCGTAATCCACTATAATCTTACAATGCAGAACGCTGTGTTAAAAAGGTTGAGGAACTGCTTCTTCCCACTTGCCATATTTCCTTGAGGAAAATCTGTTGGGGGACTACAAGGCTGTTGTGGGTGAGGTTCATAGCCACTAATACCCACCCTCATTCCATTCGCCTCCCTCTCTCACGCCACCTTTTCCCCTGCACAGCAGTTAAGCTTATACTGGCACCAGTGCAAGCTGTTTTTCACAAGGGGGGAGCTCCTTCCCAGCTGTAACTATCTACCAAAAATTGTTGTCCTTGCATGGCAATTTGCTTCCATTGAAGCAGCTAAAGCCTATTTTATAAAGCATAATTGCACAAAGCATAATCCTGGGTTAGGCAGGACTGAAAGAGGAGAGGCTGCTTGCCAGATGGGGAGGCTCCTCACGCCTGGGAAATGTATCTGTTTGATTTTTGTGAAGGTGAAATGAAATGTAAAAGGAATCTGTCTTGTAACAAATCTTGTAAAATCATAATAAGACAAGAACTCTACTACCTTGGCTTTAAAAAGAAGTTGCTTTAATGTAAACAGTGTCTTTTCCCTTTTTTCACACTACTTTGTATGGCTTCCACAGCTAGCCTCATAGAAAAATACTTGCCTACCCAAAACTTAAGGAGTAAATACACGCTTTAAGTACTGTTCAGTTGTCGGAAAGCTTCCGACTTTTGGTTCATAGAGCTCTCTGCAATGCTTGTGCCATTTAATATTAACTTACAGGTGTTCCACCTTCTTCACAAACTGCCTGAAGTCTTGAGCTAAAAGTGCTGGTTCCTCAAAGGCAGCAAAATGTCCGCCCCGTGGCATGTAGGAATAGGTGACAATGTTCTTAAACAACTTCTTTGCCCAGGAACGTGGGATATGAGTAAGTTCACCAGGGAAGGCAGCAATACCAGTAGGAACATGGACTTCAACCCTGTAGCAGAAGATACCATAACTTCTCAAGAGCTTACTAGGTAACATAGGAACTGCAAAACACTTTTTCTTAGTAAGCCTCACTGTGGCAAGTTAAGAGAACATGCTCTTCCATAGCCCACCCATTAATACATATTGCATTCTTTGTCTTCTCCAATTTTTTACCACGCATGCAAACTAAACTATGGCTGGTACACTAGTTATAGCCATTCCTGGACTGGGACAACCTGCCTTTATAACTCTTGTTCTAATAACCACTTAACTGGATGTGGAAGCGTTCCACAATGTGGTCTATATTGTATGGGGTTTAAGTACCTGTTGAATCCCGCTATGAGATCTTTGAGGGAGGCCATGCTCAAGGTCCCTTTGCTGTGTAATGATAAGAGATAGGGCCTTCTCCTTGGTGGTACCCCATTTCAGAATGTCTGTCACCTAAGTGGATAATTTTCAGGAGTGCACTGAAGGCTCAGACTTTGGGGGCATAAATGTGAACTGGATTCCAATAGTGTCTTGTCTGCTGCATTACGGGAGTTGTATCTAGAGTTGCACTCAAATGTTTTAATTGTAAGCTGCCGTGAGCTCCTATAGGAGAAATAATATAACTTTACTAGTGAATACTAATAATATATTGGCAACCATGAGGGCTAAATGGTTCTCTTCTTGCAGATGGGTTCCAAGAGAGTTGGGTTTGAAGCTTTTACCCCGGCTTTATAGCAACAATGGACCTGTGATAGTTTTGGTAATTGGGAAAGAAGCCATCATGGACTTTGTTCTCAGTGAATCATTTAGACAACTTAAAACTTGGAGAACAATTACCTGATCTTTAGGCATGGCCAAAGAATTCCATAATGCTAGTTGGGGCTTTGTTTATTTCCTTGGAATCAAAGCATGTAAGACTTCAAAACTTGCTTTCAAAAGCAAATTTGTGTTTTGGAGGAAATACTTCTGGATGTGATGAAACAGGAATATTGTGCTTCTATTATGTAATGCGGGTGGCACTGTGGGTAAAACCTCAGTGCCTAGGACTTGCCGATCGTATGGTCGGCGGTTCAAATCCCCGCGGCGGGGTGAGCTCCCGTCGTTCGGTCCCAGCTCCTGCCCACCTAGCAGTTCGAAAGCACTCTTAAGTGCAAGTAGATAAATAGGTACTGCTTTATAGCGGGAAGGTAAACGGCATTTCCGTGTGCTGCGCTGGTGCTGGCTCGCCAGCTGCAGCTTCGTCACACTGGCCACGTGACCCGGAAGTGTCTTCGGACAGCGCCGGCTCACGGCCTCTAGAGCGAGATGAGCACGCAACCCTAGAGTCGGACATGACTGGCCCATACAGGGCAGGGGTACCTTTACCTTTACCTTTATTATGTAACCAGCTATTGCTACTACCACCATAACAGCTATAAAAATGCCTTAAGACAGAAAGCACAGCATTGCAGTGCAATGACTTCTCTTAAACCAGCTTCTGGTACTTCTTCCTTACCTGCTGTCAGGAGCATTCTGGGGATTCTGGGAAAGATTCTCCTTGTAAAAGCGCATTGATGGTACAATGGAGGAAGTGACCCAGTAAATCATGATATTGGTCAAAAGGTCATCAAGAGAGTATTTCCTAAACAGAGGAGTTTAAAGCATTGTCATAGTTTTACCATCATACCTTTGGTACTTGACTGCAATTTGGTCTACTAATACAGAATAGAAAGTGAGCTAATAACATGCTACCTTTGGAGTGTGTTAAAGAGTATACTGAGAAAAGCAGTAATAGGTTAAAAAAACAATGCCAATTTTATTGGCTGTTTGAGATGATAACTCCCCTCCCCCTTCCTAAAAAGGATCCTCACCCCATTATACTTGTGGTACAGACCTTTCCAGACCTCCATTGTCCATGTTCCGGAATGATTTGTCTGTCCAGGTGGAGAATTTCTCCAGGATGTATGCAGCGAGTCCCACAGGAGAATCATTCAATCCACAGCCTAGATCAGGGAAACAGCATATTACCGTTTACATCAGACACTTGCTCCACCTCTGGCTAGGAACTGGGCCCTGCATGGGACTTGCTCAGAGATCAAAGTGAGAACTAGGGCTTTGGATTGCAACCAACTTAATGCCACATCATTCTGGATGTCTTAACTGCAAAGGCCTGGTTCTTCCAAGGATCTAGTTAATCTGGCTGGAGAAAAAAAGCATTTGGCTAGAAAAGTGGCCACTGGGAGCACAGGGGTTGCTGCTGACTTTCATCTATGGTACCTTGGCAGTTTGCTCTCCCCCCGCCACCTCCTCCCCCCCTCATGTAAGCCCATTACCAGGGGAGCTAATCGTGTGAATCTTGTTTGCTTGCAGAGTTAATTTTGCTGTCTGTAAAAGTGGGGGACAGAGATCTCTCTGTGTGTGTACAGTAGTCTCGTGTAGATGTTACATTCCGGGGAGGGGCATAAATATGAAATCACATATAGCCGAAACAACACCTTGGAATTTTACCTGCCAGAGCAAGTGTGAGACCTTCCCAGAGCCCAGTAAGCAGGACAGAGAGCTTAAAAGCTATTTTTGTGCTGGGAAAACCTGGCATGGAAAGAGCTTTTGAGCTCTCTGCCTTGTGTGTGTTTAATTTGTGCAATATCAGCTGGCTGGCTACCAAGCACGTACAGCTGTGATCATGCAGGTTAAATGCACATAAGTTGTAATCCTACTGTATTACTTTGCCCTTCCTCATTTGCTTCTGCAATTGTTGGCATCCTTCAGTCTCAAGACACTGGAGTCCACCTCTGGGGATGAAGGTTTCTAGGAGCCACAGGTGAGAGCTGAGTGCAGAGTGAGGACCAAAGGTGGACAAGCTACTCCAGAAAGAGCATGATGTGTCCTCCACCAGTGCTACATCCCATATACTCCTCTTTTGCAATAGAAAGTTATAATTAATGAAGCCTGATTAATCCAAATCTGTATAATTTATTGCAGTTATTCCTATGTGCCTTAGCTAGTATAATTTCATTCTGTATGGGGGAGACTAAAATGCCTCTTTTTTCAGTGGGGGCTTCAAAAAACACAGGATGATCAACAAACCTGCTGTGTCAGGCTTGGTGGCCTGGATGTGTAAGTAACCAGATTCTCGCAAAATTTCATACACGTGCTTCTCAAAGTATGGGAATAAACGACGTGCGTCTTCCCTGGTGAGGCCCACCAGCCATGGTACGTAGGCTCCCAGTAGTAAAGCAACCAAGCTAATGTTACTGGTGAAAACCATGTTCAGATGAAGCCCTTTTACAGATCTGAAAAGAAGGCATGGAGAGTTTTCCTAAACTTTCTAGTAAATGTGCTTTGGCTAGCATTAGAGTCAGAACCAGCAAATATGGAAGAACAATGAGAAAATACTTGGGAGAAGTGACATCCAGGGAAGAGATATAATCATACCTTGTATACACAGGCAGGGATATATTGCTGTTATTTAATACTGCTTTTAATAGTGGTTCTTGTGCAAGCTGGCATTTCTCAGTTGCTTGCCATAAGTTCAATTAGGAGCAAAATCTGGATTTTCTTCAGGGCAGAAATTGATTCCTCATGCAGATGTAATCTAAAGCCTATGTTTCTGTTCTCAATTACTTCTATGAGTCCTGCTTTGATGACAAATGCTCATTATATTCTCCGACATCCTTCCTTGCAAACAAAAACCCTTGCAATGCAGTAGACCAACCAAGTTGCATGAAGAAAGATTATGCCTAGATAACCCCCTGCTTTATAACGTAAATGTAAGGTAAAAGTAAGGGATGCGGGTGGTGCTGTGGGTTAAACCACAGAGCCTAGGACTTGCCGATCAGAAGGTCGGTGGTTCGAATTACACAACGGGGTGAGCTCCCATTGCTCGGTCCCTGCTCCTGCCAACCTAGCAGTTCGAAAGCATGTCAAAGTGCAAGTAGATAAATAAGTACCACTCTGTTCTGGTTCGCCAGAAGCGGCTTAGTCATGCTAGCCACATGACCCGGAAGCTGTATGCCGGCTCCCTCGGCCAATAAAGCGAGATTAGCGCCACAACCCCAGAGTCGGTCACAACTGGAACTATTTAAGGTAAAAATAAAGGACCCCCTGGACGCTTAAGCACAGTCAAAGGCGAGGGAGCCGGCGTTTGTCCACAGACAGCTTTCCGGGTCATGTGGCCAGCAGGACTAAACCGCTTCTGGTGCAACAGGACGGAAACCAGGGCGCACGGAAATGCAGTTTACCTTTCTGCCACAGTGGTACCTATTTATCTACTTGCATTGGCATGCTTTTGAACTGCTGGGTTGGCAGGAGCTGGGACAGAGCAATGGGTGCTCACCCTGTCGCATGGATTCGAACCACCTTCCGACCGGCAAGGCCAAGGGGCTCAGTGGTTTATACTGCAGCGCCACCCACTTTACCTTTATAATGTATAGATATGCACAGCCACCAATTTATGTTGAATGATTCGGAATATGCAATAGAGAGAAGGACCTCCACCACTTACTGTGGCACCATCTGGGCTATGTTTGTGGTGATCTTGGAACCCCAGTCTCCACCCTGCAGGTAATATTCCTGGAAGCCGAGTCTCTGCATTAGCTTGTGAAAGATTCGAGCAGCAGCCAATGAATCGAAGCCTGTCAGTGAGGAGAAAAAGTAAC